TTTAGATGAAAGGTACGGGTGTACATTCTAGATCAAAGGGATGTTCATCCAACGGGCGAGCCTTGCATTGACTGTCTATGAAAGATGCCTCTGCCCATTTTAAAAAATTTGCCACTTTGCAAAATCCTTTGAAGCAAGAAAAAGTGTTTTGCTTTTCTACGACGACCAATAAAGCTTTCAATTTTTTGATCCGTTTGACGTTTGTGTAAGTAAAAGACCTCACTTCTCCTATTCTTTGTCTAAAATATTCATCAGACGGACTCTTCTTCAAAATCTAACACCCAGGAGGGTCTGGTGGTAAAACTGACATGTGCGTCAAGGTTGATTTGCCTCTTATAATTCCAACTGAGAAGATTATGGAGGCGATGGGGGTCCACAGTGCATGAATGATGCAGAAAGGTCCAACAAACTATAGTATTAGGTGGGGGGTCTCTTTGTGGCATACCTGCATAGAAGAGAGCGAGCTAGCAACCTTTAGATAGCCGTATAGGATCCCAGATACAATTGGAATGTTCATTTTGACCTTTGACAAACGAGTTTGTTTTCCCAGGGAAGCCTATGATAAAATCGAAATGTACAAAAGGTAAACAAATTATAAGGCTAAAATGCACAAAGTGAGGTCCTCACAAAGAGGGCAAACTTGTTGATGTAGTTATGAATGGACATTGATGTGGACGCGTAATGCAATGATTTAAAAAACTCGTCCCGTTTCCAAGATAGACATCGAGCCAGTATCGCATTTACCAATACATGCATTGTGTGCATAGTAGATGCATAATGATGAGAGTTTGTTATCTTTGGCAGAGACGACGTAAGTTACACATGCATGTTTAGCATGACTTGAACATAATTGTTCATTTGTTTTCTCAAATGGGTACCTTTTGGGTACAAAGGTTTAGATGAAGGGTACGGGTGTACGTTCTAAATTAGAGGGATGTTCATCCAACGGGTGAGCCTTATTTTGACTATCTATGAAAGGATGCCTTTGCCCATTTTAAAAAATTTTCCACTTTGTAAAATCCTTTGAAGCAAGAAAAAGTGTTTTGCTTTTCTCAGGCGACCAATAAAGCTTTCAATTTTTTGATCCATTTGACGTTTGTGTAAGTAAAAGATCCCGCTTTTCCTATCCTTTGGCTAAAATATTCATCAGACGGACTCTTCTTCAAAACCTAACACCCAGGAGGGTTTGGTTGTAAAACTGACATGGCGTTGATATGCGTCAAGGTTGATTTGCCTCTTATAATTCCAACTGAGAAGATTATGGAGGCGATGGGGGGCCCATAGTGCATGAATGATGCATAGGAATGGCAACAGTTCTGTTCGGGGTCGGTCGGCCAAAACCATAACTTCACCACCAAATTTTTGGTCATATCATAACTGCACCATAACTACGAAAGTCGGTTCGGTTCAGCTCTGTTCGTATCTCGGTTAGATTCAGTTAATAATCACGAAAATAAATTAT